ATATAAACCCTTTTTGTTGTTATATTTATTTAGTGAGTATTGCATCTATCATATATTTTAAAAAGTAGCATAATAGATTTCTAACACTAATAGGTTGTACACATGGCTTTAATTGTTAGCGTATATGTTAGCTAACATTGCTGAACCTAATCTAACCATTTTTAAATTTTTTTATACTTTTAAGCAAGTCAAAATCTGGGCTAGGACCGGACCCAGCCCACCGCATGGACCGATGGCCGTTCCTGGCCAAGTCCATTGCATCAAGTAGCCAGATGATCAAAATCATAACAATGAAATTTTCAATGTAGTTGTTAGAGTAATGATTAAGATTATGAGCATGAAATGGGACCACATTCCATCAAGAGAGTGAGACCTTTGGAGTTTTATGCCTAGTGGATAAAAACTAGGCAAATGAAAAAGATTACAACATATGCAGGTACGTTAATTTATTTTTACTTCTTCTTTTTGTTTGTCTTAATATTATTATTTTTGATTTTTCGAATTTAAAGAAAGATCTGAAATTTTCCATATAAAACAAGTCGCTCTAAGAATAATAATTCATAGATGTGTAACCAATGCTAATTTTCAGGCCCTACAATGAATAAGTGCCAATGCTTAAAACAATGATGATGTGGTGGGGACTTCGATTGTCTTCTTGAGAGGAAGAGAAATTCAAAGGTTTGAAATTTTATGCAAAGGTTGTTGGAGAAAGTCCTCCAAATTTGGATTAGTTGAAGGCCTACTACTTATTATGGAAAGCAACGCAAATTTTGAGACCTTCCCAAAAACCTTAATAGAAAATTTCAAAATCGATTGGAAAATCGCTGATTGAGATTGGAAATCACCTATTCGGATAAGAAATCATAAATGACCGTGCTAGTTTCCAATCATTATTTATTTAATAGAATATTACATAATATTTAAAAGGGAAAAGTTTATATAGAGTCAAGGCTCTAAACAATCAAATTAGAGCCCACCTAAAAAATTTCACTAGAAGAGATTGTTGTAATGCCCAAATATCCTCAAATTGATCATCTCGACATTAAGATGCATGGACATGAGAAAAAAATGGATTTCAAGTTTTGGAAATAGTACATCTTGTAATGTATTTTTGGATCGTCAAGTTTCAAGATTTTCAAATGTCATAGATATGCTAGATCTACACTATTTTTTAAGCTTTATTTTATAATTAAAGATGAAAATATATTTTTCAGGTTATTAGAAATTTTTTTTAGTAGTGAAACCACATTTCTCGATATTATTTGAAGGTGTGCTTTATTTTGATTGTTTAGAGCATTGGCTCTATACAAACCGCACCCAATTAAAAATGGTTCAGTTGTGCAATCCTAGGGAATGGTGAGGTTCGAATTCCTTCATTTTTGTAGAGATTGAGACCCAAATCCTCTAGCCAACTCAACCACTCAATTTAAGGAATGTAAAATGCGCATATTATATATTATAGGGAAAATGTTCAACAATGTGTTGAGAACATAGAAAATGCCATGGAGGAAAAGTATTGTGGTACCTATTTACAAGAACAAAAGAGACATACATAATTGGGTGAACTATTGAGGAATCAAGCTTATATGCCGTACTATGAAGCTTTGGTAGAGAGTGATTGAATAACGACTAAAACATGAAACAAATGTATCAGAAAACCAGTTCAGTTTTATACTAGGGAGGGCAACAACGGAATCTAGTTTCTTACTTAGGCAACTGATTGTGAAGTTTAGAGCGAAGGAAAAAGACCTCCACATGGTCTTTATTGATCTAGAAAAAGTTTACGATAGAGTACCTCGAGATTTGATTTGACAGGTGTTGGAAAAGAAACGAGTCTCTAGACACTAGATCGACTTATTGAGAAATATGTATGATGGAGCGCTAACTAGTATACAAACAACTAGTGGAGAGATGAATGAGTTTTCAGTAACAATAGGTCTATATCATGGGTCAGTATTGAGCTCATACCTCTTTATTTTAGTAATGGATGACTTAACTAGGCACCTACAAGAGGAGGTATTATGGTGCATGTTATTGCAAATGACAGTTTTAATCGATGAGACCTAAAACAACATTAACACAAAGTTAGAACTTTGGAGGGATGCTCTAGAATCCAAATGCTTTAAAATTATTTGGACTAAGACAAAGTATATGGAATGCAAGTTTAGTTCTAATAGGAGTAGTGACGAGGAAGTAGTTAAGATTGACGATCAAGAAATACAAATAGGATTGCACTTTCGATAGCTTGGGTCGAAAATATAGTAAAATGAAGGATTAAGGAAGATGTCGCACACAAAATTAGAGCTGGGTGGGCAAAGTTGAGATATGCAACTAAAATTTTATGTGATCGCCACATACCAATGAAGTTGAAGGGCAAGTTCTATAGGACAGTTGTGAGTCCAACTTTGCTCTATGGGGTGGAATGTTGGGCGGACAAAAAACAACATACCTATAGAATGAGGATGTTGAGATGGATGAGTGGAAAGACAAGAAAGGATAGAATTAAAAATGAATCAATTTGAAAGAATTTAGGTGTGGCACCAATAGGTATTAAGATGATAGAGAGTAGACTTAGGTGGGCTGGCCATGTGTGGCGCCGACCAAATACAACACTTGTTAGGATATACGAGTTAGTTCAAGTAGAAAGACTGAAAAGAGCAAGGGGTAGGTCCAAAAGAATGTGGTTGGAAGTAGTCTGAAAGGATATGAGGACTTATGACCTCACTGAGGGTATGGCCTTTAATAGAGTAGAATGACAATCCAAGATTCGTGTAGCCTACCTCAATTAATTGAGAAAAGGTTATAATAATGATAATGATGAATGATGATGATTATATGTTATAGAGAAATTTATCAAAATATCCATAGGAGATGAACTATTCAACATTGTACCTATTTGCAACTATTCTAACTCATTATCAAGTTGTATTTTGATGGATATGTTGAAATTAAATTAAAAGATATGGATACAATATTAATTAGTTCATCTTTCATGAGTATTTGGATAAATTCCCCTATATAATATAACATTTATTTATTTATTTATTATTATTGTTTTTTGTATCATTGCCAATGCGGCTTGGGATCATTTTTTTTTGTAAGTAAAAGTGGTAAGTCAATGGGGATTTGGGCCCCTACCCTTTGGTAAGAATGAAGTCAAAGACCTCATTATGGGGAAAGTGGTAAGTCAGTGGGGATTTGGGCCCTATCTTTTGCTGAAAATGGAGTCAGAGACCTCACCATGGGACTCGGCAATACTACTGCCAAGGCCCAGGCCATTCTCAAAAGTGGTAAAGTCATTGGAGATTTGGCCCTTACCTTTTGGTGAGAATGTAAAAGTGGTAAGTCAGTGGAGATTTGAGCCCTACCTTTTGGTGAGAATGGAGTCAAGATACTTCACCATGGGGCTCATCAATGCTACCGAAAGGCCCTAGGCCATTCTCGAATTGAATTGGGATCGTTGAGTTGGGGATCTACCACATCGATCTTTTTTTGTTGTAAAAACCTAAAAAAAACCAACTTACATGGTAGACACGTGCTTCTAATACACAACTACACATCCTTCTACCAATTTTTTTTCAATCTTGCCCATACTAAATGAATTACATCAGCAAAACCAAAACTTTGTATCATTGAAGATTCCGCATTTTTTTTAAAAAAACTTAAACAATCGAAGTAAATGCACCTCTGAACCTTGACGGAAGATGCTAGTACCAAAAACCGCAACAATAGTATTAAAATTTCTCTCCACCACTCGTTATTCAATTTAAGCTCAAAAAATATTGTATATTGATGAGATTTATGAACACTACAAAATTGTGAAAATTGATAATCTAAATAATGTGCAACATGATGTTCTATTTTGGGACTTGAAACCCTTTTTTTTTTTATATTAATACATCTTGCCGTTGAGATAATCAATTGGAAGGTTATCCAGCATCAGAACAACCTTTTTTGACGGGTTCTTAGGTGTCTTACTAATGCATCTGGTGATTGAGATAAAGTTGACACTTTATATAATTTCTTTCCTTCTTTTAATGTTTCCACAGTTTGTTTCTCTTTGCAAAAAGCAACGACAATTTCTCCTTCACAAGTGCCAAATGGATTTGTAGAATATACTTTCTCCTGGACTCTGCCGATAGATCTCCACGTTGTCTATTGGAAATTCCAAACTGATATTAGAAATGGTTACAATATTGATTTTGGAATCTATAAATCAGAGGCGAGACCCTCCTTGGGCAGATTTTTCCTTTTGATCCTCAGCCTATGGGTATTAGCATCTGTCTCCAGTTTACGAACATGTACAAACCAATATATCCCCTATCAATCCCTACTAGTTTAGGAAATTGAGATTTACTTATTTTTCCGATGAGAAATGTAAAGTAAGAATCTTCTCAGGCCAATAGAGCTTTTCCACATTCATCCATGAGCATGAAATTATATAGACATGTAGATCCATAGATCCATAAACCAAAAGCTTCGCCCTATCTATCCAAAGGATATAAGGGCAGATGGAGGTTCCCTTTGACGTCCCTTCCGATTTAGAATTAGGGCCTCACAATCAACGATCACTAGCCAATATGCTTTTCTAACATTATTGTTGTTGTAATAAAAAAACAATACCCAGTATGCCCCTAGAAAGATTGGAAGTGATCAGAGCCGTGACCATCGAATAAATCTTTTCAGCTTGAGTTGGGTTTAAAGCACAAAACATATTTGCACCATCACCATCTTCAAATAAAGACCAAAATGCTAACAATATAGGGAGATGTAGATAACTATGCTTCAGCTTTATTCTTCTGAAGGTGGGAGAAGAGATAAAACTGATTATTTGATTGACAAATCAGATAGTCCTCCGATTTCTCAAGGTAAAGGTCATCAAATGAATCATGATGACAATTGAAATTATCGAAAAAGGGGTGTGAGTTAATATATGGTCTATAATAGATCGTTCGACGAACCGTTTTTCCATAAAAAAAAAAAATATCTCCATCGACAAATTCCAAAAGAGTACAACAATACATTAATATTGAATAATAACCAAATAGCCTTTGGATCAAATATTTTTATTATTCCCGTGTTCGTTCTAATGGATATGTAGAATGAACCTTTCACTTATTTTCTTTCGAAGCAATCCAAAGGCCAGCTCACGTACATCCACAAAAAGAGAGAGAGAGAGAGAGAGAGAGAGAGAGAGAGAGAGTTGTTGGAGTTATATATAACACAGCTCCCACATGTTTCATGGAAGAAGCTGAGGCACCACTGGTGGAAGAATGAGCATTTTAGAAGGAACGTTTGTGGTAAGCGCGACTTCTTCAACTGTGGCAGGGCTTTTCAAACTAAACCACCTGCATTCTCCCCATTCTGACTTCCCTGCGGCTATTGCCTGCCGAACTGCCAAGAAAGCACTGCATGCATCACCCTCATCGTTAGCCAAAACCATAAAATGAGAGTGATAAAGCTCCTGCATGAGTGACTACTAATTTTCAATAGAACAATAAGGGATGAGAATGATAAAGCTCTAGCATGTGCGACTATACCAATTTTCTATGAGAGAATAATGGGTGTTTCATATAGAGAGAGAGAGGACAAACAAAAAAAGGTAAGTCAGTGGGGATTTGGGCCCCTACCCTTTGGTGAGAATGGAGTCACAGACTTCATCATAGGGCTTGTTGGTGCTACCGCCAAGGCCCCAGCCCATTCTCACCTTAAAAAAGGGTAAGTCAAGAGAGCGAGAGAAATATTATGGTATTTGAATCCTTATACATAGCAAGGTAAAATGCAGAGGAAGATTAGGGATGTTCTTTTTATGAGAGGGGGTGAGAAGGAAGAGGATTTAAAACAAAATGCAGTTTTGAAATTGAATAGGTATAAATGGGACAAGTAAAAAGAAATGAGAGAAAAGTAAATGGGAAAGTAAAAACTTCAGAGAGAGAGAGAGAGAGAGAGAGAGAACAATGTGAACCAAAACAAAAGAGAATGCCAATTTCATATATAGAGAAGAGGGTGCCGGGTGATCACTGTTCTCATGGATCTAAAGAAATCAGGAACTGCAATAAATTGATTTAAAGATAAATGGGCAAATTATACGGCCACAAAAAAGAGACTGTAACACTAACAAGCCCTTCTAAACAAAGAAGAATAAAACAGTTTGAATAAACCTATCACCCCAAAAACTATTTCAAGAAATTTAGGGGTTAGAAATTTATTGCTGATCAAAATCCATGCATTGAGTATTTAACTAACCTGCAGGCAGCAGCATACGGTGGCTCCCCAGAGAACTGCAAAAGTACACCAAAAAAGCAAACCAACAGAAAAAGTGCTATTTAAGTATGTTAATTGTAGTGAAATCATGAACCCCAAGAGAAGAAATAAAAGTTAATGACCAACGTAACTCTTATCTAATTATGACTGGCTTCAATAAAGGCATGCATAAAAAGTGAGACAAGTCAACAAACCTTGGATCTTAGGACTCCATAAGGGTTTGAACTGTTGGGAAGGAGAGAAGCATTGAAAACGAGTGGTATATCTTTAGATGAAGGAGGCTTGTACTCCCAAGTACTTGCCGTAATTAACTTCATTAAATTGCAAAGAAAGAAATGAATCTCATACTTTAAGTATATTTACTAAATTGAAAATTTGTAAGAAACTAAATAATGTAGTAGTTTAAGAACTAATACTACCCTTCCGGTCTCTGAATCATATTCATATTTCTCTGATAAATGGTATCCCAATCCTTGTACGAAGGCTCCTTGGACCTATAAGTTCAAACCCGATTGTTAGGAATTTCTCGAAAGTCCTCTTCCATAAAATGTTCCCCATACGAACATTTATAGTTGTGAACGTTTTTTAGAAAATAATATAATAATCATATTTCAAGATATATATAAATCACAGATATGAATTTATGGCATAATATGATGCTCATAAGCATATTATATAAAAATCACATATAATATGATTCTTATAATATAAAATGATGCTCACAAGCACATTATATCATGTAGTGTCTCATGAATTTATTATATGGCTATATAATCATAGATTTATAAGGCAACCATATCACTACACTGTGAGATGAAAGAAAAATCGTTCAATGGTTTTATAAAGACTGGAAAAGTCAAAATGACAAAATCCGGTTATGAAAGAACTCCGGTGTTTGCCAGATTCCAAACCACATGGACATTTTACCAACATCTTTTGCACCAGAAATTTACTCCAAAAAAAATAACAAAATCTGGATATCAAAAAACGCCAGTGTTCCACAGATTCCAAACCACATGGACATTTTACCAACATCTTTGCACCAGCAATATACCCAAAAAAATAACAAAATCTGCATATCAAAGAACTCTATTGTTCTCCAAAGGCATGGCTCTACCTGCCCAATATCAATTGCGGGGTTTAGGCTCTTCCCACAATCCAATACAACATCTGCCCTGACAACCTTGGTTTCTCCTGTCACAGAACATTATGCCATACGGTCTTAATCTTTTCCAAAATAAAGACAACGACATTGTCAACTAACAGAACATTGCAGGAACAAATTTGTCTGAAAGCATCATAAAAATTATAGACTTGACATGGTAATTAGTCCCTTCTAAAAGAAAACAAATCATGTTCACAAATTGTACAAGCCAATATAGAAATCATATGAAAAATGTCATTACAAAATGTGAAGAAATATTTACTAAAAATTACTTAAGCTAGAATATAATATTTAGTTACATGAGATGATTCCCAATCCTAACTATTAAAGAAAGGAAGAAATGGAGCACATACTATATCATGAGGAAGATATGGTTTGAGTGGAATATCCTTCATAAAAGATATAATACTCACTTACACGAGATGATTCCCAATCCTAACTATTAAAGAAAGGAAGAAATGGAGCACATACTATATCATGAGGAGGAAGATATGGTTTGAGCGGAATATCCTTCAGAAAAGCGGACAATGATCTACGTATTTTTTTCTTGACAAATGGGAAAAAGCAATTAAGGTAATGATAAGAGTCCATACATATACCTATCCTTATATACAGAGGGTGTTTGCATAAAAAATGGGAAGAAGCAGTAAAGGGAGATAATCCAGGGAATGTAACGTACATGGGTTTCTGCACAGGAAACGGGGAAAAAGCATTAATGGGAAAAAACCCAGGGAATGAAAGAATACACATGTGCATGCCTGCATGCTCAAAACTCATGCCTCCATGGGATTCCTATTATTTTGGAGTTTATAATGTTCCACATCCATGCACAAATGGACAACAAGAGCTTCATACTGTTGTGTGCATACCACTCAAAATGTTGACCTCAACTTCAGATACTGCAGCAGCAAATGAAACATATCTGAATGGCAAGAGAATAAAATGAATATAAGCATTAATAGCTTAGTACCTTAAATATTCATCTGAAGCACTAGAGAAAGATTTACAATAAATTATGCATGCTGGTTTGCAAAATATTGGGACTCTGTATATAGTCCAGAATGATGTAAAGAATTATAATTGTGGTAAATGTCAAAATTTAGCATGTTCCTTCTTGTTTCAATATTATAATAACTTTGTTATATGTGACTTCAGAATCGTCACTGTGGGTACCTAAACTATAATCCAATTATACTAATAATTATTGGAGACATCACCAGCTTTTCTATCTATGGAAGACATACTGGAAAGGACCATGAGGGCCAGCACTGGGGTAAACCCGTCCTCTTGCTTGAAGGTCCACACCAGCATCAAGAGCCTGAGAAATAAGCTCTTGCCAAGTGGGTTTCCCTTTTGTGGATGTCATGAGCCTACTGATGCTCTCTAAGCGCTGAACTAACTTTTCACAAGCATCCTGCATTTTCCAAGCCCTCAATTTTGAGTTAGTCATGGTTGAACACTCATATCATACAAATGATGAACACTCATATTATGCAAATGACTGGTACAAGGGACACTCTAATGGGGGAAACATGAGAAACAAATGAAGGAAAGAGAGAGGCAACTTTAAACATTAATTCAAGTATAAGATATCATAAATACAAATGATGTATGCTTCATTATCCAGAGAGACAAAATGTCCATAAATTCTTATTTCATTTCTCTGCTGTATTCATTCTGCGGAATCATGTATCAATAAATGCCATAAAAATCGATAATGCAACAGAAGAAGAGCACTCTATCCTAGTGTTCTCAACATTGACCAACGAAGACAACAAATGAGAGAAACAAGTAATATGGGATTAGTAAGCACAACACTAGAACCCAAAACCTACAGTAACAGATATAAAGATTATTTTTCTTCATTTAGGCCCTTATTCACTTCATTTCCGCCATTTTCAACTTTTCATGCTTTCTTCTGCAAGAAAGATGAAGATGGAGGACTCATGAGGTTGATAGCAAAAAAGGTTTTTTTCCTTTCTTGTTGGGAAAAAATCAGATTGAATGAAATATTTAGAGACAAAAATAAGATAAAGAGAGAAAGAGATCTCAATGATGGGAAAAGAAAGAGAAGTTGATGCCATCCCTGGGCTTTTGTCTCTCGTCTGCAGTGGTTGATGAGTTACCAATGGATTTTCTACTTACCGAAATTCTCCTATGATTTTCATAGTGCTCCTAATAAAATTTCCATATTTAGATATTTGGTCACCATTCGGAGCTAGTCTAAAATTACTTTTATAAACAGTTCCTCTCTCTAGAGTATGACCAGTCACTAATTTCCAGAAGGAAGACAATAATGAGTTGTGAGATAAACCATCCTGTTCCCTTATCAAAAACATGGTATCTTAATTAAAATGATTAAGGTTTATTGGGATAATAGAATCTTTTTTTTCTTTTAAACTTACATCTCAATGACAACAGCTTGATCTAATAAAAATGTGACATTATGGAGAAGTATAGCATAATCCAATCGACTATGGGTTTCCATAGTCCACTGGGGCTATCAATGTTCAATGAAATGATGGATGGAGATGGAGAGAGTGGAAAATCATCAATAGGTCATGCCTCCCTCGTTCTGGTGGTTTCCAGCCGATCTTAGACAGTGATGACCCTAATTGGACTACATATAACCACGCTCCATTGGATTATACCACACTTTCTTAATCTTGTCACCATAGAGTTTTCATGCTAAGTTATGGGCAAAGCAATGGTTAACACAGAGTTCAGTAAGGTAGGAAAAGAATTTTGCTATTTGCATAACCAGACTATATTTCTGATTCCCATCATAAGAAAAAGGGCAAATGTCAAAGCACTGATGAAATGTATAATGTCTTCTCAAGGAAATTCACCAGCAGATTATCCAAGAAGGGGTGAGGAATGTACTTGAACCGATTTTCCACTTAGTTCTGAGGTGATCGAGCCACCACTTTCTGCTACATTATTTGCAACTATTGTTGTAGTTGTGTGGACGTATATATCTTCCAGAAGGATTCCTCCTTTAACAATTGATCCCAGTGTCATTGCCGCAACCTGGTTTCAGATACTATCAAAATCACTTAATTTCCGAACTTAGAAATATAACAAGAAATTAATCTTGCAACCCCCCTCCCCCAAACAAATATGTATATATAAAATTGAATATTAATGGCATTTTCTGCTGTGATTAATCAGGTAAAACCACCACCATCAAACAGGAGCACATCCTAACTAAACAAGAGGTGCAAATAGAACATGACAGACATAATTCGACACGGACGACCAAGCAATAGATAAACTATTTTACTTTATTCCGTTATAGAGCACTCCCACGAATTAGTATGACATTATGTGCAAGCAAATTGCACTTTGATGAGGCAACAATCCATTATTATAGTCCAAACAATATGAATTGCAAGCAACTTACAGAACTTGGTATTCATTTTAACACTTACAGTATAATTATATTCTGATAACACCAGTTCCATCTGGATTAAGCCAAAAGATATTCTACTCCTGTGGGAGCAGAATGTTCATTTACTCCCATAGATTAACCTCAGCAAAAAACAAATCCTAACCGTACCTTCTGTGCACTAGAAAAAAAAAAGGCTTTGAGATTGAATAGAGACCATCCAATGTTTAGATGGTGCCACGTGTTAGAAAACTCAAATTTCAAATTCTTTTTTTGAGAATAATCACCTAAACTCAAATTTCAAATTCTTTTTTTTGAGAATAATCATCTAGTAATTCTTAAGTGGTTTCCAAATTTTCAGATTGAAAGAATCCTCCCAAGTAGGTCTTCGGACCAAGGGAGTAAAAGTGAACTAGTCTTCGGACCAAGGGAGTAGAAGTGAACTATGTTCCCAAGGGAGCATAGTATACGTGCTCCTGGATTAATATCAGTCCTTTCCTTCAAGAGCCAAGGAGCATATTGAGTCTGATAGTCACTTTATTAGAGGTAAGTCTATGCTGCTTCACTTCAGGCATCTATAGCACATCAGCCTGCAAACATAATCGGCCACCATGACTAGATATGCTAATTAGGTTTTGATGAACTGCCCACTTGATCCTTACTGATCAAGTCAAATTTGGTGATACATATATGCATTTTGTAAGTTCTGTTGTTTCAAGGGAACTTTCATCATTTCATACATGGTTGTTTTTCATCATTATGAACCCACAGATTCTAATACCAGCTGATTTCTTCATGAAATCTACATTCCCTCTTAAACATGTCAGAGAAGAGAAAAATGAATTAACTAGAAAAGAAAAGTGGGAATCCGAAACACAAAGGGTAAATAATTGAGCCATTAGTTGCAATCAAAAGAAATATTGGGGTAAAATAATTTTGGGAAAAGTAGAGGGCTTGTGATATTTACCGGAAGGCTTGGAATACGAATACCAAGAAATGGAAAACAAGAGAATAGTTTAATCGGACTGTAAAGTTGGGAATTTGAGAGGAATAAAATATAAAGAGAAAATGACACAGAGATGAAATTTGTGGTGATGCCTGATAACCTCTAACAACTTCCATACCCATCCTTTTATTCCTGAAACATGCACCATTGAGATTTCTGTTTCTCCTTCCACTTGTCTAGGTTGCTTGCCAAGATTAAAAGTCATGTTTGAAACTGGAATGCGACCAAATCTTTGCAAACTTGCACCAATCCAAAAGAACATTTTCAGCTGTGTTTCAATGTGTTCATTACCAGCAGTTTCAATAGCTGTACATTAAACCTCATAATGTAGAATACATGAATGCCTCATAAAGATCATGACCCTTTAAGAAGCCTAGTGATCAATTTAATCTATTCGAATGTTCTAGATAGAGCCGGAATCATAATCAATTATTGGAGGTTGTCGAGAGAGAAAGGAAAAGTTAAGTATTAAGTCATAAAAGCCCTTTGTTTCAATATCAAGCAAGTAAAAACTAACAAAATCATAGAATAGATGTATCAAGAGATTATTACAATAAATATTATCACATGTTAGACAATCTGAAATACTCCAGTAAATAAACAGCGACTAGGTAGCTTCTTCTCTAGATAGAAAGGAAAGCATAGCATAATTCATTGTAGAATGGAAAACCATAGTCCATTTATCAACTTGAACAAATGAAAGTGAATGGTGATGGAGAGCGTTTAGGACCCACCAGAATATGACATAACACCAATAATGGGGTCCCATTACTTCTCCATCACTGTATATATCATAGGATGGTGATGAACTCAACAGACAAAGATGGTTCCACACACTGGACTCTAATTATATTGAACTTTCCCTCAATACAATTGATGGCACTGACATCTTACCTGAGCAACTTTTATGTCTAGCCCTTGCCCAATCTCACATCCTGACTGATAAATGCTGATACTGGCATCGAGGTGTATATTGACCAGCGATATCATCTGAAGCCCCTCCCATGCAGCCCCAAATTTCACAGGTACCAAACTAATTCCTCGTTTAATCCACTTGTTTTGTTTATTAAAAATCTTTGCCTCTTCACAACGTCTGATGTAGTCACTAGAATTCTGCAATTAATCGAATGAAAGAAAAGATGGGGTAATGGAAGAAAACTAAGCAGCAATTATTAATTGAATCATGGAAAAAAGAACTCGGAATGCGACTATTTGGATCAAATATGCGTCAGGGAGAAACCTTCTCATTATGCCGCTTTTGGTGTATATTTATAGGAGTTACCAGAGATGGGGAAGAAACTTGAAAAAATTGTTCTTTCCCCATCCCCATCCCCACTAATGGATGTGGTGCAGCAACTTAATTCAAACATTCCCTGATTTAATAATACTCATTACATAACAGAACATGCACCGACTTTGCATGCAGATGTGGTACTCTACATTCTTTAAGGAACAGCAGTCTCTCGGTTGTACTTGTTTCTTATAGCACCTTCATGTAAGGTATTCTGATCATTCAAATAGTTTTAAATCATGCACATGGAATAAGAGTCTCAAACAACAGATACAGAAAATGACACCATGGTTTACAAAATAAGACAAGCATTATCACATTTGTGAATTTGATAATTATAAGTTATATAAAATATAAAAGGGATTGTCTACAAAGAAACCATTTATCTTTTGTACATGGAGGGTAAAATCATTCCCACTCATTAGATGTCAAATTGGATGGCTTGGGGTGAGTCACAGTCCGAGAATGTTTTTTTTTGGAACTTTGTGTCTATTCAATGACAATCTTGCAACCACCCATTTTAAAATTTAAAGAAAAAGAATGATTGTGACCTCCATGTACAAAACATAAGTGTTCTCTTTGTAGACAATCCCAACATTAAAAACATAGTATTCGTGAACATTAAAAAATATAATATTCATAAGTAAACTAAACAGTAAATTCACTTCATACATGGATATATAGGTCAATCAATTCAGAGTGATAAGTTATAGAGATGACGATCAACAAATTCATGAACCAACTAGCCAAATGAGAGTCAGGGGTGGGCTTGAAGAAACCGTACTGAGAGAAAGCCCCCCAAAGGAGACGGGGGGGGGGGGAAAGAGAGCGCACACAAGAGAGAGAGAGAGAGAGAGAGAGAGAGAGAGAGAGAGAGAGTTACTTTACTT